GTCGTGCTTTTGGAAACTCCAGGTTACAGTCCCTAATGAGCATAGCACAAGCACAATACAATTAATGTGCTTGTGCTATGTTCAGGGCCCTTGGGCCCCGTAGAGCATCAAGACAGTGCTCCCAGCAGGATCTGTCCTTAGTGGGCTGGCCTTACAAAAAAAAGGCCAGCAGGCCTGACGTGTATTCACAGCAGGCTGACCTGTCAGTGTTAGTAATGTGATCGTGTAACTGGCCCTGCCACCTTATTCCCTCCCACTGGAGTCTCTTTCCTTTGGATGTCGGAGTTGGGAGGTATGAAAAGATGCAATTAAGACTGGTATCAATTGGACGATCATGCTTCTAACTAAGACTGAAGGGCCTAACAGAGTTAAATGGAAGAGACATTTGAAACAATTTGCGATAGGTAATTATAAACAGACTTGAACATTTTTTGAAATATACTTAAACATGTTCTCTGTGTGTATTGAGCCATGCTGTTTATGTATACACACTGCTCATTTTAGACTACAGCAGCACCATTAAATAAAAAAAAAACATTAAATAAAACATTTTCTGTGTGACCCAAACAATGCCTTTTCTATATCCATTTATTTTTCATTCACTTAACTGGCGTTTCAACACCTCACTTATACTGAAAAAGAACATTATACAGACCCACAATTATTCAATTGGTTGGGGTTTTGTTCCTCTACTGAGTTTTCAGATTAAAAAAGACTTATCCTTGTTAGTGACATACCAGGGTCCTGGTGGATATCCCTACCCGATGGTAGCGCATTTTTGGCTTGTTAAGATAAAACCACCATCTTTTCAGCATTGAACCCATATAGAGTTGGTTGTTGCTTGCGCACTGCAAATCAAGAACTCTGTAGAGTAATATGTTGGAGATCCATCTCCACTTCTATGTCTTACAAAACCCCTGGAAGATTATGATTGTTTTATATTACTCACTTTTGTTCTATGTATTGCTTCTTTGAAGTACTCTGATTGTTGCTATGTCACTACAGTCAACCTTGATCTCTACGTATTGTTTTCAGGTCCACTGATACTCTGTATTACTCATGTCTTACTCCTGTCTTCTTTGCCTTATTTCCTTTAACAAGTATTACTCGAAAAACCAAAACCGAATTCACAATAATATGGAAAAGCCTCCACAGTCTGAATAGTTACCATAGTAAAGAACTGTGTAACCTCATCCAGATCCGCAGGCCACTCTAATGTATTTTTGAAAAAAAAATGGGTACATTGGGGCAGGCTTACATTGTATGCTCTTATACTGTAACTAAACTCCCATTATTATTTGCCTAATTCAGGTGCTAATAAATTGCTGCATAAATTGACCCGAGAAGCACTCTTATAATGTATGCATATTCAGATGAGGGCATGCTTTTTAGTTTTTATATGTATGTATGTATGTAATTTACTCACCATACATAGTATATCATACATATTATAAAGACTATGCAATAACAAAACTATATATTTTTTTCTTTCTTAAATAATTTACTGTATCCTATTTATTTTCTAAGTTCCAAAGAATATTTTAGTTGCCATGCCGCAGGATACATTGGTACACTGCTCCATCTTTGTCAATTTGATTAGTTGCTGCATAGGGTGCATTCATGCATGTACACTCTGAATGATCAGATGATGTTGTGCTGTGCACTGACCACAGAACCTGATTAACACATATTTAGCTGTATTTGTGTCTTATTGACATTCCCAAAGAGTTTATATGCTCTAGGCTGCAGTGAAGCCATTGATAGAATGCCTAATCCCTATTGTCATGTTGGAAAATTAATTTGGGCAGTAGGGGAGATCCATATCCTTATGATAATGAGAAACAAGGAATAATAGAATTTAGACAGAAACATAGATTTTCACAGTGGGGTAAAATCCAGTTTGCCGTTTTAGTATTTAGTTTGCCGTTTTAGTATTCCTATATTCTCTCTAATTTGCTTACCTGTGCTGTTTTTGTAGATGGTGTCCTATGGAATTGCCAAAGGACTATATCATACATTTAAACAAACAAACAAAGTATATCCAAACGACAGGATAGGTTAAAAGCTATTATCCATCTAGTGATGTGTTCCATTAGGTTGTGATGTTTATTGTGTACAGATATGTCCTTTATGGCAAGTTAAAATAATGATCTTTCTTTATTGTATATCAGTGCTCGTATGCTGCAGATAGCAAGTGGTTTGCTCAATGGATCTGATGTCAATACAGACAAACATACCTTTTGTCTTGACTTAAGACGACAGTCATGATTTTAAGGTTCCTGTTCTATTATAAGTTTGATCACTGTTTCCACTGAGGACATCAGAGAAAAATCCCCAATAAATATAGCGTGAGTACATGATTATAGATACTCTTGTAGCACAAAATGTGCTTAAGACATTTTGCCATTTTCTTAGAGCTTAATAATCAGGCCTGAGGGTGGGTGCACTTAGTCATCCTGCCCGCATGAGGACGACATGTAACGAAGTTTTGCAGTTTTAAACTGGCTACTGATTTTAACTATAGTTAATAATATGCAATGAAGTATGGCCCGCTGAGTGAAATTGCTTGTAATTTAAATGCATCAACATGCAAATTATCATCTTAAGATGCAGCAAATGCTAATTCTTTTTTTCAAACGTCATGTATCTTTTTAACTCTAAACATTACTGATAGGGATGTACATAAGTCAGTACATCATATGAGTTTCTAATCTAGTGTATATGAAATCCTACATTTCAAAAATATGAATATTTTACCTCCTGATGTGAATAAATTAGACTGGACTTTTTATCACCTCTGATTTTTCATTAAAACCTGACTGTGAGACTGAGACCTTCTCTTATGTGTGTCATTGCAATATGACCAGGCATCAAAAACAAGCCTAGATGTGTTGGTAACACTAGGCAAGTAGAGACACAAAAATAAAATGAATTTTGAGGACTGCATTTGCAGTCATTATCAAAATATCTGACCTTTGTCTGAAGAATACTGCCGAATGTTGCACTACATAACACACAACCACAAAATAAAAGTTTTCTTAATAAAGAATATTTAGGTTTAATTTCTCAACTTTCTCTATGAGTATTCCTGGTATTGATAACATGTAAAATATATCAGTACATTTTTACAGTTACGTAATTAAGAATCACAGAGTTCTTCTTGACAAAAGAAACAAAAATAAAATTAGAAGAACATTTAGATAATCTGATGCTCAAGTGCACCTTTAACATGACAAAATTGTAATTTGTTTCTAAAATATTGCAGGGGTGTAATGTTTACAGTTATATCGTATACTTTGTCTCACGATCTTTCCAAAAGAGGTAGATTAATCTACATAAGCAAATATACATTTAAGAACAAAGTAGTGGGTAAGTCTGCTTATGGGTATTGGTAAGGAATTTGGTTGTATTTGGGGGAATAAGTCCCAAATATAACAAATACAGTTATACTTAGCTAAAACTGGAAATAGTCCACCATTATTAACCAGGGTATTTCAATGCAATATATCTAAACATGAGAGCCGCAATATATAGTTTACGACTTTACAAGTTTAAACACGAGAAAACAAAATAATGTGCATTGGAATAACTCCTTCTTGGCTTTAATTCAGCAACACTGTATTCTGTGAGCCATGCAGGGTTCTGTATAATGCAGGAGCAGGGAAGGGAAGCATTATTTATAGGAAAGAAAAATAAAACTTGGTAGTGAAAGGGTAAGAATAACTAAGTCGGAGGGGCGGAGCTCGACCACCGACGAAGATGGCCGTGGACTAGAGGAGCTCCGTGCAGCCCCAGAGAGACCGCAACAGAGGGCAGAGCTCTTTACAACCTCACACCTAAACCGAGGACCCATACTGTCACCACACTCCGACCTCCCTCACAGCACACCAGAACAACTGCCCACTCCGGGCACCGCACCGGATCCGGTCCCCAGAATAACCCAGCGCCCACAGAACCAGAAGACATACTAAGCAGCGTGCCCGGTCCGGGAGCCGTAAGACTTTCACTCAATTTCTACCTACCCCTCTACCATTACGGGACACACAGCATCCCCAACGCCCTCCCTGGCGGGACATGGCGTGGCCTCAGCAACCTCCCAGAACAACGAGGCCCCCTAAATGACTCTCCGACCCACTGCAACTGTATCCCCACCAGCACAGGACCCCCACCGTTCCCTGGCACAAGCCGGGGAGCACCGCAAAGCTTCCCCCGGCCGCACCCAGCGAGGGGCAAGCGCCCCGGCCGACTAAATGAAACCCCGGTCACTGTCCACCTATCTAAACTAAGGAAGATGATATGGAAGAACCCTATTGACTCTGGGACTACCGTAAGACAAAAACATGGGGATACCCTACATTTAATGCTTGAAGCCGGGGTGTGGGGTGGGGCGGGTGGTTCGGGACCCTGGCGGCCTCCCACCTTTCCCCCTTCCATGGAACGGGGGGGTGGCGGGCCGTGACAGTCCTGAACACGGGAGGGATGATGTACTCTGAAAGTTGTGCAATATTCGACCCCTGGCAAAATAACCATTGCGGGTCTGGGGGGGCCCTCCTCTGGGGCCGACCCCCAGGGAGGTCTGGTGCCTCTCCGGCATCCGGCTGCACGGGCCTGGCCCCCACCGCTCCTTGACTACCCCCATACGAGACACAGTACCTAGGTGCACACCCTGCCCACCGGGCAAACCCAAAGCTCGGAGCTCCCTGGGGGGCGATGGGGCTGGGGATGTTGGGGCTGGGGATGTTGGGGCTGGGTTGCGAAACAGGTGACCGGTGGCCTAGGTCCCGGCCTAGTGGCACACATGGATACCACTCAGCACTCACCCCACAAGGCAACAGCAAGTCCATATGTATCCTATTTATTTTCTAAGACACTAGGGACACAGAGACAAGCAGACACAGACACTGGGAGACATGGGGACACTGAGACATTAGGGACACTGAGAGACATGGAGACACAGACACTGGGAGACTAGGGGACCCTGAGACACTAGGGACACGTTGAGACATGGGGACGCTGAGACACATGGGGACACTGTGAGACATAGGGACATTGGTGACACATTGTGACATTGTCTCCACAGGGATATTGGGAGACATGGAGACAATGTCACAATGTGTCTCCCAATGTCCCTATGTCTCACAGTGTCCTCATGTGTCTCAGCGTCCCCATGTCTCAACGTGTCCCCTAATGTCTCAGTGTCCTCATGTTTCCCAGTGTCCCCATGTGACCCCTAGTGTCTCAACGTCCCCATGTCTCAATGTGTCCCCTAGTGTCTCAGTGTCCCCATGTTTCCCAGTGTCCCCATGTCTACTGCTGCCTTTTCCCTCATCCCTCACTTCTCTGAGCTGTAGTCTGTCTCTGCAGGCTGGGAGCTGCTGTCTGGACTCTCTGTGCTGTGTAGCTGCTCCCCGTGGATCAGTGAGTAGGGAGAGGCAGGGAGGGATATGCTGTAACTTCCTATCCCTACCTCTCTCCACACACAGTGACCCCTACTGGCGGGGGCTGGTATTGCAGAGTAATCTCCGTTTATACTGAGAAAAATATCTGCATTTGTATTGCTGGTATTACTACAATACCGTTACGGCCAGCCAGCCTCAAATAAATACATAAAATACCAGTCAGGTTGCAAACCTAAGAGTAGTGTGTAAAAGGGCCTATTTCATGGGCATGGGCCTGGGCCTGGGCCTGGGCCTGGAGCTGCAGCTCCATCAGCCACTATGTTAATCCGGCCCTGATTGTATCACTCTTACAGTCAGGTCCATAAATATTGGGACATTTGAGGGTATTTACATCCAAATCAGGTGAACGGTGTAGGAATTACAACAGTTTGTATACGTGCCTCCCACTTTTTTTTTTTTTTTATTCTTTATTTTTGGTGTGCATAGTGATTAAGACATACAAGTTTGTGGAGCAATCCTCGAGCATTTTTCAAGCATTACATCAGGGGCAGTAGTATAATGAGCACATTTTTATATATTAACAAGTTTATAATAGGAACATTCAGTTAGATTGCGTGTAGGGTATGGTTAGTAGCCATTTAATTGCAATTAGTTACCGCCATATTACCCAGGTTACTTAAACATGTAATGGTGGCTGAAGTAAATAGTGTGGCTTGTCTAAACGATATTGCTTCAACGGATAGATCTGCCAAACCTTTGTGCAACTAAGCGTGGAGTTCAAGAAAGCCCTGTTGATTAGGTCTAGTTGTACATAACCTAAGTGAGGCTATATACAGACATGCTTAGTAAGTAATTATGGTCCAGGCTTCCCCTAATGGGCAGTTACATAGCACAGCTGTGCTGGGTGATTATGTTGTCGGTTGAGTCCGACAGATTGTAGGGTGCCCTGACGAGTTAAATAAAATAACCAGTTGTATAAGGAAACATGCTTAACTAAGGTAACAAGAATTAACAGGGAACAAGTTCCTACAGGGTGTTTATGTTCTGTAGACATAAGGGACCTCTGCGGTCGGTCTCAGGTGATGAGGGGCCCTGGGATATAATCGGCCCAAGGCAGCTAGAGTCTCTGCATAACCCCCACCCCCGACCTGGCTGCCATTCACCCAATTCCCGTGGTAGCTACCAGAGTCATGTTGGAAGTGAATGTCCCGCTTGGATCAGTCATTTTGCAGCAGGGCGAGAGTCCCATTGCCGGGCTCAGACGCCCCCGATCTGCTGTCGTAGATGTTGGGCATACATGTTGCGGCTTGCAGTGTCAGTCCTGGTGGCTCCGACCTCCGCGGTGCGTCACGAGGCAGGCTCTTTGGGCTTGCCGGGTATGGAGGTGCCATGTTGCTCAGAGCAGGGCAGGCCGTGGGTCTCTGTCAATGTTGGCTGGGTTGAAGTGGGTTTGAAGAACACTTGCGGTAGTGCTTATCCGTCAGCAGGTTGCGTGATTTTCCTGGTCGGGATGGTGCTTCAGGACGGTTGCTGGGATGTGCTGGGCTGATTCTTCAGCACCGTGTTTGTTGAAGCGGCCTCTGTTTCTTCCTTAGTGGCAGTGCTTTTCTCCGGGATCGCAGGGCCACCCTTTTGTGAGCGGCGAGGTTGATTCTGGCTGGGCTCCAGCTGGCTTGTGCCGGCGTGTGACTAATGTGACTAATGTGGCCCAGAATCTTGCAAATAGGGCGTCTATCCTCTCCTGCAGAGTCAGTCATTTGGTGTCTCATGGCCACTGTTGAAAGTTGCCGGGATAACACTCACCGGCTGGGGGGGGAGAGGTTGCTGATTGATCCTCCCGGGTAAGTGCTCGGTAGCAGGCTAAGGGATCGGCCACCTCCCTCTTGTGCACTGCAACTAGGCCACAGGCCTTCCTCCGGGTTTAACCACCGACCACGGTTGGAAGCCGCACTGGTATAGGATCTAGGGGTGTCTCCCGCTATTGTGGTGTCGAGGGCTGTAAGTGTCGAGTCGTTGGGTTGCCTTTGTTGCTTATTTAGAAGCCCTATTGTGCGGAGCTCTTAGTGTGTGCGACCTCTCCGTGCGGCTGTCAGGCTCTGCCCCCGCCTCCCACTTTTTAAGGGACCAAAAGTAATGGGACAGATTAACAGTCATAAATCAAACTTTCACTTTTAATGGTTGCAAATCCTTTGCAGTCAATTACAGCCTGAAGTCTGGAATGCATAGACATCACCAGATGCTGGGTTTCATCCCTGGTGATGCTCTGCCAGGCCTCTACTGCAACTGTCTTCAGTTCCTGCTTGTTCTTGGGGCATTTTCAGGTCAGGTGATTGACTTGGCCATTGCATAACATTCCACTTTTTTCCCTTAAAAAACTCTTTGGTTGCTTTTGCAGTATGCTTCGGGTCATTGTCCATCTGCACTGTGAAGCACCGTCCAATGAGTTCTGAAGCATTTGGCTGAATATGAGCAGATAATATTGCCCCAAAACACTTCAGAATTCATCCTGCTGCTTTTGTCAGCAGTCACATCATCAATAAATACAAGAGAACCAGTTCCATTGGCAGCCATACATGCCCACGCCATGACACTACCACCACCATGCTTCACTGATGAGGTGGTATGCTTTGGATCATGAGCAGTTCTTTTCCTTCTCCATACTCTTCTCTTCCCATCACTCTGGTACAAGTTGATCTTGGTCTCATCTGTCCATAGGATGTTGTTCCAGAACTGTGAAGGCTTTTTTAGATGTTGTTTGGCAAACTCTAATCTGGCCTTCCTGTTTTTGAGGCTCACCAATGGTTTACATCTTGTATTCACTCTGGTGAAGTCTTCTCTTGATTGTTGACTTTGACACACATACACCTACCTCCTGGAGAGTGTTCTTGATCTGGCCAACTGTTGTGAAGGGTGTTTTCTTCACCAGGGAAAGAATTCTTCGGTCATCCACCACAGTTGTTTTCCGTGGTCTTCCGGGTCTTTTGGTGTTGCTGAGCTCACCAGTGCATTCTTTCTTTTTAAGGATGTTCCAAACAGTTGATTTGACCACACCTTATGTTTTTGCTATCTCTCTGATGGGTTTGTTTTGTTTTTTTCAGCCTAATGATGGCCTGCTTCACTCATAGTGACAGCTCTTTGGATCTCATATTGAGAGTTCACAGCAACAGATTCCAAATGCAAATAGCACACTTGAAATGAACTCTGGACCTTTTATTTGCTCATTGTAAATGGGATAATGAGGGAATAACACACACCTGGTCATGGAACAGCTGAGCAGCCAATTGTCCCATTACTTTTGGTCCCTTGAAAAGTGGGAGGCACATATACAAACTGTTGTAATTCCTACACCGTTCACATGATTTGGACGTAAATACCCTCAAATTAAAGCTGAAAGTCTGCAGTTAAAGCACATCTTGATCATTTTATTTCAAATCCATTGTGGTGGTGTATAGAGCCAAAAAGATTAGAATTGTGTCAATGTCCCAATATTTATGGACCTGACTGTATATACCAAACTAGTATCGCTTACAAGCATTTTATGCATCTTGAAACTGACTCCAACTCTGTCAGATATAATCATAATGAGCCAATTTGTCTTTGTTATCAGTGGTTTTTGTTAAATGTGGTTGTGGGTCGTTTGTGGCTCACAATACTCTCAACTTTGGCAGCTTCAATCGTGTTCGTGACAAATGTGGTTTGTACAATATCTTTATCTACTGTTCCCTATTACATTGCTAGAATGGCATATAGTAGTGTCATTCTCTAATGATCATGCCCCTGAGGTAGGGGGAAGAACATAGGACAGTAGAAAAAAAATAAGAAAAAGAAAGAAAGAGGGGGGGGGGGGGCATGTCCGTAATGTCGATCGACCATCACCAGGCATGTACCGGAGTCGGGGACAAGCCCGACGGGAGGGGTCTGTCTGTGAAGGTCAACTGACATGCGTATGCTACTCTCAGTGCTTGCTGAGGATGCTGGTCTCCCATGGTTCCCATATCTTTTGGAATGTTTTAGTTGTTCCCTTTACTCTAGCCGTTAAGTCATCCATTAGTTTGCTCTCTTTAATCCTGGGGAGTACCCCTGCGAAACTTGGACTTGCCTGTGCTAGCAATGAAGCTGCTATTGTTCTTCGCGCATCTAGGGTGATCTTGTTTATAAGTTTTTGTTCCCTCCTAGTCCATCCCTCTATGGGCCTGTTGAGTAAATACACCCATGGATCCAATGTCGGGGCCCTGTTGAATACCTGTCTCAGCAAGTAATCTACTGATTTCCAAAACTTCTGCAGAAGTGGGCAGTCCCACCACATATGTAAATATGTTCCCTGCATTCCGCACCCCCTCCAGCATACATCCGTTGTAGTTTTGTGCATTCTGAAAAGTTTAACAGGTGTCGTGTACCACCTAAACATGGTTTTTAAGGATTGTTCCTGGAGGGTTACACACATAGAAGTGTTGTTAGCTTCCCAAATCTCTTGCCACTCAATGCCCTCTAGCTCTTCCGCCAGTTCCCGTTCCCATTGGTCTGCATACTTTATACTAACCCATTCCTTATTTTCTATGCAGAGGTGGGCGTATAGTTGTGTAATTAAACCTTTGGGGATAATCTCAGTTCCACATAGGCATTCAAAAAACATTGGTGGTGTGCATGCTGCTACTTTGATGTGAGGTTGTTTTACAAAATCTCTGATTTGTACATATCGGAAGAAATCCAAAGGTGTCAAATGTCGCCTTTGTTGCAGGTTGGCAAAGGGGACGACCTTGGGGCCCTGAAAAA